AAAGCTGGTTGTAACCCGAAATGTTCGTTAGTAGAGGCGTTCGTATCCCAAGGTACCACTGTATAATCCATAAGTAAAACTACTCCCATGTTCTGCTTTTATATATTTGCAACTGAACTGCTTTTGGCAATAAAATCATATTACTCTGTGTGGGTTGCTTCTTACAGGATTTTTATTGATGATAACGTCTGTTACCATACAGGTGGTTAATCTGTTGTCATGTTGGGTTATAATATAGGTTATATTACATTTTTATTTACCCTTTTACATCCCTCCACCCATCTTCCATAGGATTTATGATGACGTGGTTTTATGCCACTATATTAACAACATCCTGGGGTTGGGGTCAAGAGAGGCAAGATGGCAATTGTAGCATTGCCAGTTAAGCCCTGTCTTGTACATGTGACACATGCATGTACAAAAGAGCAGGGCTTCTGTTGCACTGTCACAACTTCTGTCTGTTTTTTGATCCCTGCCCACCCACTGACTCACCCCCATGGACACAGTTGCCTGAAGTTCAATGTTTATTCTTTAAAAAAAAATAGCATTTAAAGCAAAGTGTTCTATATTAGAAATTTTTTTCTGCTAATCATATGGTAAACAACTATGCAAATTCTGCTTGAATGGAGATTAAAGCTTAGACGTTTTAAGAAGTTAAAAGGAAATCCATGATATACATATATATGATAAACAAGGAATTATGGAAGAAATGTTCTAAAATCAGTATGAATTTGGAGCACTGACATGGGTTCTTACATTCAGATATGACTTTGACAATCAAAGCTATCATTGCAACATTTTTAGCAAACATTGTCTCATATATAAAACCAAACTACCAAAATGTCTCATTGTATGGAATATTTTTTGAAGAGAGTGCAACATTGTAAAGAGGATTAGCCCTCTCCATCAGTAAAATGCCCTGCATGTAATCATGTGACTTTAAAATTGCCTCTTCCCTTGTAATAGGTTGACAGTATTTCCTACTTGGTCATCCTGTTGGGAGAAGAATTAGAAGCTTGGGTAAGTTATGGACAGATAAGAAAGTTCTCAGCAAGAAGCCAACAGGCCACATAAGGTTTCCCTTCCATGGCCTTCCATGGCCCATATTTATCCAAATTACTTGAAACTATTCTGACCGCTGGCAATTTAAAAGCATGATGAAAGCATCAAAGCACTAGTTAGAAAACTGTAGGCTAGCAATATTTTAATTTTATCTAATTCCTCTTCAGAATGATGTTAAATAATGCAATATTGTGGGAAAACACAGTTATAACATTATAATCCCTGTGAAGTACATTGTTATTCTATACAATGTATTGAGATGTAGGACAGAAGCATTGGTTATCTCACACGTTTTATCTTAATTCCATGACAGTATAGATTGTTTCGACTCTTTCAGAAGAAAAACAAGTCAAGTGTTAATTTCTTTTTTTCTTTTTCTTTTTCTTTTCTTTTCTTTTTTTGGAGATGTTATTCTATATAGGATGGTAAGAAAACAGTTTTCAACAAATAGCAATCCTTTAATAGTTAACTGAAAGTTAAATGAGCCAACTTATCCTAAACAGATTGAAAATGATGTCGTGGAGAATTCTCACACAGTGTGGGTTATCGGCATTTCGATGAAACAACATTTGTTTTTGTTTTGTTTCGCATGAATGGTAACTTTTAACCCAAAAGCACGTCATTTACAAGTTATGAGATCACTGCAACTGAAAACATTCATCGGTTTGAGTCTTGGCTTAAAATAAGCTCTATGCCAATAGGTTTCCAAAGCTGGTTCAAAAAAACAATTCCTATTTATTTCTGCTAGGTCAAGCACTTGACTCGTTGACCATCTTAGGTATTAGCAGCACATACAGTAAGAGAAATTTGGTAGAATTCAATGATAATTTAGTCTGAACCAAAATTATTGGGTCTGCTTAAGTTTGATTTAAAGGCAGCTACGTTATTTAGACTTCAGCATAGTCTATTTATCTGTTTTAAATGGCAGGTAACATAATGCCCCTGTAAATCTATATCATTGTATTGTTAGGACAGTACAAAGTATTAATTATACGCTGCATTTTATTTTTGAAATAACTTCCCAATATACCTTTATAAAATTATCAATCATGGTTCTTCCAACAAAATTTATTACAGACATTTAAGAATCAAGGGCATTACTTTTACACTGGTTATATTTGTGCTGGCAAGTATCAAATCCGTAGCAAAAAATATTCCCATATTTTGCACTTTCAGGTAGTCCATGCAGCCAACACAGTTGGGACTAGCAACTGGTTGTTAAGCGAAGTAGTTCCTAAGTGAAAATGACTGTGCTTATGGTCTTACTTCAGTTTTGCTTTACAGACCTGCAAAAGTCATAAATGTGAGGATTGGTCATAAAGTTACTTTTTCATCACCATTGTAACTGCGAACAGTCACTGTCTGAGGTAGTCGTTAAACGAGGACTATTCTAAATATCAGCAATCTTCTTTTTCTTTCTTACAGCATTTATTGATGATCTTGATAGGTAGTTAAACTATTGTCATATTTTATTCTGGCCAGTGGCAGAAACAAACAGAGATTAAATTTAATAGTAATTATAGGTTATAATGAGCTATTATAGGTTCTAATATACATTACGTTATGTTTTTCCTTTAATCTTTTCTTTGATTATTATTTCATCTTTTATTTGCTTATATATCCTCATTCTGAAACAACACAAAAGGCACCAGATTGGGGAACACTAATTTAGATGAACCAATTATATCAGTGTTTTTCAACCTTGGCAGCTTTAAGGTGTGTGGACTTCAACTTCCAGAATCCCCCCGCCCGCATGCTGGCTGGGGGATATTGTCCTTATAATTCTGGAAGCATGATAATATAATTCAGTGTTTTTCACCCTTGGCAACTTTAAGGTGTGTGGACTTCAATCCCCAGAATCCCCCAGCCAGCATGCTGGCTGGGGAATTCTGGGAATTGAAGTCCACACACCTTAAAGTTGCCAAGGTTGAAAAACACTGAATTATATTATCATGCTTCCAGAATTATAAGGACAATGTAGCGTATCCAAGTGGCATGTGAAACATCTGCAATTGTTTCTGTAGACATGAAGCTCTTCATCATATCCCATAATCAGGATTCTGTCAAAATCTATCAGAACACAAAGCCCAGGCTTCAAAAATGATTCAGAAGAAGCACTTCTCTTCATTAAGCTACTGTTTAAGCAGAAATGTGATTTTTACTTTTTCAGGCTTCATGCGGAAGCCTCAATAAGACAGGCT